CCGTACGCTACCACGGCGTCCACGTGTGTGTGTGTGTGTGTGTGTGTGTGTGTGTGTGTGTGTGTGTGTTATGTGCCTGTACCTTGCTAAAATATTCTTCAGCAGTCAGAGAGGCCCTGGGAAGTCTTACTCAGCTCTTCCCATCTACCAAGTGCTCAGCAAAGCATGGTGTCAGCTTGCTCTGTGTATCCAACTGTTCCTCACCCTCCCCTAGTCTTCTCTTATTATGTGTGTTTTCACATGGCATCAGAATCCTGTTCTGACCTCTCAGCTAATAAATGTCCTTAACTAAGCGGTCAGCAAATCTATCCCAACTGATCCATTTGCTGAGCAAGGAGAACAAAAGGCCATCCTCCTCCTCCAGCTTCCCTCTAGGGCAGCGGTTCTTAACCTGGGGGTGCGAGATGCCCTTTCTGGGGGAGCGAGACATGCCAGATTTTTTTAGAAGGTAAATCATCGAAAACACAAATTAAGCACAGCACATAAGTACAAGTACTTTGTAACTAGGTTTAAGGGGTGCGAGAATGTATTTTTTAGGTTTAAGGGGAGCGAGAACATATTTTTCAGGTTTAAGGGGGGTGAGAACATATTTTGATTTTTGATAAGGGGTGTGAGAACATATTTTGAGAACCAAAGAGGTGCAGGCTGCAGTAAAGGAGAAGAACCACTGCTCTAGGGGGTGATGAGAAGATCAAGAAACTCTTAGCTGTCCTCTCCCCCACTAGTCCTTTGCTATCAATTCTGGTGGGGTGGAGAGCTCGGCACTTCTCGATCCATCTCGAGACACCAGTTCCCAGAAGTATGTTTGGAATGGCACTAGCAGAACAAGGTGAAAGCACATATTTTCATCCCTGGTGCAACTCCATTGACTTCAGAGGCCCCTTGTGCATACAATGCATTTTCTCATCTTTTCTCCTACCATCGGCATCTTTCTTCTGTTCTTTCTTTTCTTTTTTAAGTAAATAGAATAAAAATCTCCCTTAGCTCAGGAATGGCCACCGCTTGAGTAATAGTTTGCGAAGGTGAAACTAGGAGCGAAAGGAGCTCACAGCCAGGAGCCGTGGCGACTTCAACGCCAGGTGGTGATGACTTCTTGTCTGTCTTGTGGAGGGCTTGCTGTGAGTGGAAAGCTGGTGAATGCTTCAGCTGTGGGTGCTAGAGAATGTGCCCTACACTATGAAGGAGAGAACCATCCATTCACTAGTGGTTCCTTTGCCTTCCTCTTTCGCTTTTCTCTCTCTGTTGTCTTTTCCTTCTCTCATTCTATTTCTTCCTTCACTTGTCTCTCCTTCCCAGGTCAGAATGCCTACTGAGTGGGAGCCTCTTGTTAAAAAGCCACCCTTGTGGCCCTGAAACAGGGGACGGGTAAGGGAGGCTCTGCTCGTTCAAACTGTTTTTCTGACTGGGGGAAGCAAGGGCATACATTTCCTCTGCTGCTGACTGTCCAGTCATTCTGCTTGTGGAAATGTTTCCATTTTGTCTGTGTACCTTCCTAGGCTGCACCTCCTGTGAGTGGGTCTTGTTGTCTCTATTTCCATGGTCCTGAAGTAGCTCTTATAAAATAGAGGCTGCGTGTAAATATAGAGACAGAAGTGGGGTGTGGAGCTGCCAGGGGCAGGATGTTGCTAACCACCTCTGGCTCCAGATGTTTCCCACCCTTTGGAGTAAGCCAACTCTATTGAAACATTCACACGCTAAACAACTCCTCCAGCCCCACATCCCTGCCCACACCATCATGCTAGAGAGAATGCCTGAGGCTCGGGGATATTTTTGTTCTCTATAATTGAAATCTCTGTAATTTGTTCCTGGGTTTGGGATTCTTCTTGGGTTTTTTTGCAGTGCATTTCTGGGAATATTCTCCATCTCTGTATTTCAGTTACAGTAAAATTTGAGGCTAAATACCTCTTTTGGGTCGGTCCTTGTCTCCAGTGGGAGGAAATGAACAAAAATAATACTGTTAAGAAAAGACATTAGAAATTCAATGGAAACTCAACTGTCACGCCTAGGACCCATGTGTCAGGGCACCAAACAGTGTTGAATCTCTCTCCCTGCTTACACTAGAACGTGGTTTTCAAATGTGATTCCAAAGCCATTTTGCCCCAGCTACACTAATTGGTCAAACTGTTAGAAACCAGAAGAAGTATTTAAATCTGGTTCCTAATATTGGTTTAAAACTCCCATGTAGTTGGGGCTTTTGTCCAAGGTTTTGTTCAGAGCCAGGTGGGGCATCAAAACTAAATTAAACTCCAAAGGCCACTGTTTCAGGCTATATCTACTGGAGAATGGGAGTTTCTGTCTTTAGGACTGGCTGTTTCTTATCAAGATTTACCCAAATGCCCCTCTTCCCAGCTAAAGCCTTTCAAAGGTGAGGAGAAGGCAAAGCCCTTGTCTCCACAGCAGCATGCTCATCATCTCTGGAGAACAGGACTGCTTGATTTCTCTGTATAGCTCTCTGGGCCACAGGGGCCCTGATGAGCTCAGCCCACCGGCACCTCTGCAGCCGAACAATACATGGCCTTCTTTCCCCTGCCTGTGTTTGGTGTGTAATCTACTAATGAGGGGGTGACCAACAGGCAATTCTGGGGGCCTGCAGCTCCCCTCATCTCTGGTATGGAGATTCAGCCCACAGAGACAACTCATCCCAGGATTAGCTGGAGATGAGGCATCACAGGCTGGGACCTACCATCTCTGCAAGGCTGTATTAGATGAAAGCAGCTGCAGTCTTGGTGCTCCGAGCAGTTACCAGATGTAGCCCATGGTTAAGGCCGGCAATGAGCGAGGGCCAGCTGTGGTAGTGATTGTTGCAGGTCTCTCTCCCATCCCCTCTCACTGAGTCAAGGCTGCCAATCCCGCTCCCTGCAGCCAGTCCAGATGATTTATAAGGTGCCACTTCTCTCCCTGCAAACCCTGAGGAGAGGCCACCAAACTCATTTTTCTGCTGACCTTTTACAGCCATTCCCAGTTAAAATGAGTTTTCATCTTCCAGGTTGGGCCAGTTTGCAAAATGCGGCCAGCGAGATGAGCTCAGGCAGCTGCAGCAGATGTTCCTGCCCTTCTAAAGGCCCGTAAAAGAGAGTTTAATAGCGAATCCGTGCAGCCTCCCACCCCCTTCCCACTCCTCCTTCCTTCCTTGGCTTTTAAGTGAGCAGAAAGCAGGCAGCTCCTGCTGGTGGGGGGGTTTTCTGTCTTTGTGCACAGCAACTGCAGTTTCCCAGCTCAGCTCCACTGCCTGCTAAGAGCTCAGTCACAAATCAAGTAGAAAGTGCCCCTTAGGATGACCTCTCTCCCCCCTTCCCCCCCGAGAGAACCCCTGAACCAGGTGCTCCATTGTCCGGCGGAGCTCTCCTACAGGTGAGTCCCCATGCCTGCTCCAAGGACAAGAGATGGAGTGCTCCAGTGGATAAGGGGATGGACTTGGGATCCAGGAGATCTGGCTTCTTGCTCTTCCGCTCACTGGTTGTGTGATGTTGGGTGAGACACTTGGCTTTTCTGTGCCTCTGTTTCCCTCCCACCCTTAAGCTGGCTTCTTTATTTAGACTGTAGGCGCTCCAGGGCCGCAGCTGTCTCTTGCCATGTGTTTGTACAGGCTCTAGCACAATGAGGCCTTGATCTAATTGGGACACCCGGGGCTACTGTGACACAAATAAATCATAAGGATGAAAAATGTCCATTTTCCCTTCAATTTACAAACTGATCTTCAGCATTTTACCTGGACCTCCAGGGCAGGGCACCCTACTAACCCCTAATATTCTACAGCAAAGGAGTCAGACACTGGATTTTGGCTATGTTATTTTTAATGCCTTGGTCAGAGGCCATGCTGATTGGATCAGTACCTGGGCACGTGATTTCTCTCGGTGCAATACCCAGGCTGCTGGGCACGCTACATGGGCCCCTGTCAATGCTTCTGCCAAAAGATCCCCTCTAAGCAGGCCTCAGGCCAGAAGACGCTTTCAAATTATTGTTATTTTACTGAACGAGCTGCATTTTTACACACTTTGGATACGAACATGCACACACCTGAGCGAGAGAGAGTGAATTGCAGCCAGTGGCAAATTCTGAAACCCCATTCCTTCCCCAGTGACGAATGAGTCTCCAGGGTCAGCCTAGCCCACTCTTGGCTTGCATCTCTGTACCCTGTCTCCCTCACCTTCATTCCCTTGTGCCATTCCTATGCTTTGAAGGGGACAGCTACATCCTACCCCACGGGGTGGGTCAATCCTATTGATGCCAGGGGGAGTCATGTCATATTTATGCCCTAGCTGCATTTACTGAGCTCTTCCAGTTGAATTTCACCCCCCAGGAACAGTCAGTTTCATTGCACTCTTTTATTTACAGAAAACACAGAGATAAAGCATTAATTTTGTTTGTTTGTTTTTAGCAAACCGCCCAATCAACTAATTTTTTTTTTTTGGCACAAAGAAATGTCACAGGTGTTACCAAACAACCATGGATCAGCAACCGACTAACTGCCCAGCCCAATAACACGACTTAAACAAACAGACATATCGAAACGAGATTGAAAAACGAGGAGGTTATTCCACATTCAGCTAACAGCATAACCTGCTTGGAACTGGGAGGCAAGGGGAATTATGGTCAAGGGGACACCACCATTCATAAATTATATATATTTATCTCTTACATTGTAAAAGTAAACAGTGCAAAAGTACAGTACCCCAGGTACCCTTCGGTTTGGAAAACTTGAAGGTTGTTTTATACATTGTGTGTGTTTTGTAAACATTGTTACCCAGCCACAGTTCTAGCTCTTGCTCTGAGACACCCAATGCCCTTGCGTCCAAAGCGCACCGTGAGAGGGAGCAGCTTCCTCGCGTTAATGCCATTGAGATTCCCATTCAAGATTTAGTGCAAATTTTGGAGAGAGAGAGAGAGAGGGGGGAATAAAATAAAATCAAATAAGGCAACAATTAGAAACAGTCCGTATCAAAAAGAGGGCACAATGCCTGGGTTACGAGAAGGGCAGGAAGTCCCTTTCTTCCACCAGGCTGATGGAGAGGTTCTTCAGCTCCTCCTCCGAGGCCGCCATTTTGTAGCCGAGCTGCGCCAGCACCTGCTGGCAGGCGTTCTGAGTAAACTCCACAATCTCGTAGGAGAGGCGGAACCGCCATTTCTCTGCTGTCGCCGCCGAGTTCCGGACAGTCCCATACTTGTGTTTGGCCGAGGACCTGTCCCCTCTTGTGTTGTTTTGTATCCATCGCTCAACATTGCTGTCCATGGGAATACCCAGGAAACCGTAAATCTCCTCAGTCTTTTTCATGGGATTTCTGGCCAGGTCTTCGTACCTTACCAGCATGTATTTGCCCTTAAGCCAAGGTGGTCGGTTTAGTCCAGTGGATACAGAGTTCAAGAAGTCCTCGCAGACCGTGGTGAGCTGGGTCACATCCAGGTTGTAGGGCTTCCTGCCAGTACCATCCCAGATCCTCCAAAGCCTGTAGGTGTCTCGGAAGGTCTCGCTCCTGGAAGCCAAGATACCTCTGGGGTCCCTCACCAACTGTATAACCTTCAGGTTTAGTCTGGGATCCTCCACCAAGGCTCTGAGGTCACTGACCTCTGGCACCCGCACTGTTTTGATGGCCACATGCCCATGCTCTTTGCATGACTCGGTGGCCAATGTCAGGTTCAAGGTGCCACACTTTTTCACACAGTCCCCTTCCTCCAGGTGGATGTCAATTGGCCCCAGTGATTCACAAACTGGCAGCGAGCACAGGGCCTTGCTGGCCCCCCTGCGGAAGAGCCGGTCCGTTGTATGGTTTACCGGCTGGGGTTTGATGTAGTTCTCAAGAAAGTAGAGGTCACAGTCATAAAGGCTCCTCAGCAAGTCTCTGCTGGCACCCAGCATGACCCTCCTGTCAGTGGTGCTCTTGCTCTGGGTCAGCTTTGGGATCAAGGTGTACTGGACATGGTACAGGGGCTCAAATAAATAGAAGACATCAAAGTGCTGGTTAAACAACTGTCCAACAAAAGAGGAGCCGCTCCTGGTGGTGGCCAGGATCAGGACATGCGTCTTTCTGGAGAGGTTATAAGCAAAGGTTGGGCTCTCGTCACATAGTCTGTCAGCTGACTCAGTCTCCTGGCTCAGGCTGCAGTTCATGGGATTGGGGATGGGGCAGCTGTGGAAGGACTTGGCTGTGAAGGTTCGGATCGCCGTGTACTGGATTGCGATGGATGCCAAGGCTAGTAGGAGGACAGCCTTCCAGGAACATTGCATGGCTGGTCACCTTCATGGAGCTTCTTTACAGGTTGTCTTAGTATCTGCAACACAAAGAGAGGTCACAAGTTGAGCAGGGAATATTGCTCAGGACCCTGGGTATTCCCTGCACTGAATGGAGCTCGGACTGTGAAATGACAAATGAGGCCAGTAAGCACTCTAGCAAGGTGGATATCAGCCATAACCGTATGGCTCAGGGAGTCATTCCCATGCTACGCACCTCCCCATCCTATCCCATCAAGATGAATGAACATTAAGGCACACCCTGTTAGCCTCAGAAGCCATATCCACAAAGAATTTCAACCCAGGAAATAGGGTCCTTCCTGCATGAAAGGCATGTAGAAAATGTATGGCTCTCAGCTCCCTCTGTGCCTGGCACCCGAGACTGTGGGAAGGAGGTGAGCAATGGCCCTGGCTACACTATGGACATACCTTCATGTACAGTCAGTCCAGGGGAGTTCATGGCAGCTGCGCAAACTCATGGAATCCAATAAACATAGGCTGTGTGCTGTGCAATGTATGTAAGTCAGATGTCACCCCATCAATCAAAGTCGCTAGCAGCCAGTCCTGGTAGGAGTGCAAGAACAGGGCGGGGGACCTAGAGACGGGGTGAGTCCATCTTTCTGCCAGCTGGCAGTGCAGTAGAGTGACCAGTGTGTGCCAGCAAGTGCCTGTTCAGAGTGAGGCTAGTGACAGCACATTCACTTCTCTCCTAGAGCTGCCAAAGTCCCCCCTGGCCAGGGTAGCTTGGTAAACCTGAGTCACGGTGCAGAGTCCAGATTCAAGGGATGTCAGCAAGCTGGATGGGCCTGACACAGCATTGTGGGCTTCCAGATCCAACATGCTTTTCTAACTGTCAACCCTACAAACCCAGCCTGGGATCTGACAATCAAGCAAGATTCTTGTCTTCTCGCACCTGTGATAATGGTTCTGCCGTCAGTTGCTGCTGTGCAATCCCACCACCTTCAGATCCTGTTCTCAGCTGGAGTCCCCATGAGCTGGGGCCAATCCTGTGCCTAGATACTATGATATTGGGCATATTAGAAACAACACGCACACACCACATGTTCTCTCCCTGTTTGGGCTATCGACAAAGACAGCACCACAGACCGAATGCAAGGCACTTTGCTAACATGTGGCAGAGCTCCTGAAGCTGGACATGTTCCTTTCACTGCCGGTGGGAGCTAGAGCCCAGAATGAGCAGCTCCCTAGAAACAGCTAGAAAAATGGATTGTGGCTGATGTGGGTGCAGGGCTCGAGGGCAGCCATGAGGCCACGTGCTCCAATACAGATGTGACAACAGGGTATATTTGCCAGGAGTGGAAGATGATTGATTGAGGCAGTGGAGGGAGGTGGTTTTCCTGCTTCTGCATGCTGCAGCAAATAAAACTGCTGAAAGACGGGTTATGCTGAAGACCACTGACCTTCCCATATTGTGCCCTAAACACCACTGCTTCCAAGCCTGTGAGCATTCAAAGCAAGAAACATGGAGACTCAGCAATTAGTGCTAAAACCCTCAGCACCTTAGTGAGGCTTTCACTGAATGTACGTTCACAACAGCAGCTTTCAGCAAGAGCTGTCACTCCTTTGCTACCTGCAGAGCTGGGCCTGGGCCTCTTGGTGGAAGCAGAGCTCGGCAGGAGCCCAGCCTGGTGTTGATGAGGGGAAGCAGCAATGTTTGAGCGCATGCGAAAGCCGGAGACGTTCAATGTCTGGGGTGGAGAAAACTGTTCATAGAATCAAACTATTGGAAAACAAACAACATGAGAACCAACCTCCCATCATCCCTGCTGCCTCCTGCATTCAAATGGAGGGGGGCCCCAGCCCCACGCTACATCATCCTGCTGTCACAACCACAGTTATCTGCCCGGCAGCTTATTAATTCATTCTGCTTTATACTTTTTTTACAGTGATTTCCTCCTTGTTGGCATTGGGGGCAATGACTAGACACTCCTCCATATTGCAATAATAATAGCAAGCTCTTACACCTGTAGATCTCAAAGACCTTTACAAGGTGGTCAGTATAGTTATTTTACAGATGGGGAAACCGAGGCCCCGGGCAGCAAAGTGATTTGTCCAAGGTCACTCAACAGTACAGTGGCAGAGTCAGAAATAGAACACACATCTCCTGAGTCCCAATCTAGTGCACTATCCCCTAGGGCACACGGTCTCCCTTACAACAGCTGATGGTGACGATGACGACGACACCTCCTTCTAAGTTGTCTGGTGTTTTCAGCAGCTTGTGGCAGACTTTATAAGACACGGACAGGGCAAGGCGCTGATCCGTCCCAGGAGAGTCTCAAAGGGAAACCTAGAAAGTCTGGCAAAAGGGGGTCAGTGGCAGAACCCAGTTCTGAAGGTGGGACAGGGTGTGCAAATGGCAGGTGCAGTGAGGATGTGACACAGAGGCAAGAGCAAGCGAAAGGGGAGCACCATGAGCAAAGGATGGAGAAGCTGAAGAGTAGGAAGCATTTCCTGGGGGTGAGAGGGGTGAGGCTGCAGCCCAGCCCCCTTGAACAGAAGGGGCGGAACCCTGTGACTGTGACCCATGTGGCCTGCTAGGCCCCCAAGCATTAGAAACAGGCGTTTAAAATATTGAAAATAACCTTTGAAGATTTAATATTTGAAAGTCCTGTTTAATGAACTGGATAATATAGGCCCCTCCCCCTCTGCACCCCAGGGTGTCTGTGCTGGTTTGTTGTCTGAACTCACCAGCATCCGCTTGCTCCAGGGGCAGCCCAGCATGCAGCTGCTGCTCACCCGTAACAGTACCCTGAGCTCAGCAAGGAGAAGAGCATGTACAGGGGCTGGAGTTGAAGGAAAGGGGGGCGGGCAGCCCTGGCCAGCAGCTGCCGCAGCTCCCCTGCTCTCCTACACACTATTCTCTCTCATAGCCTTGGCTGCAGCCTGCCACAAAGGGTTGGCCCAGCACGCGGCTTTCCTGCTGCCCGCAGGATACTCTGCTCATCTGCTCACTGGCAGAGCAGGTAAATTGGAGACAGCTGTGATGCAACTGATCCTATTCTTCTCTCTCGTGAGTAGCTGTGAACCAGGCTCGGGGCACCTGCTCTCAGTGTATGGATGGGAGGGGCCATGTGTGCGTGCGCACGCGTTGCATTGCAATGACGGCTATCTCTATGTACACTGGCATTTGTGTCCATATATGCACAAGGGTGTGTGCGCACACAACTAAGTGATATCACAACCAGATTCTCCTCCATCACTTTAGGAGGGGCCTATCCTATCCTCCCCTATCCCAGACTGCTCCCCAGGAGAGTTTGAAATCAAACTCAAATGGCTAATGCTAACTGCAGTGACCAAGCCAGTCCACCCTGGAGGGTAGCAATGTGGTTTAGACGCTTCCCAGCCTCAACCTTCCCACTACGAGCTTCCCCTGGGGATTCTGTTTTCCCTCCTGACTTAGTGCCTTACACATACATCTCACAGAATGTGCCTCCGTGTAGCTCTGTGCACTTGTAGCTGCAGCGCTGGGTGCATGTCTCCATCTGTGAATAAGGCTCTGCATGTGTCTCTGTGTGACTATCTGTGTGCCTTTAGCCATGACACACACGGTTATGTATGTATGTAGGCCCCCATATGTGCTTGTGTGATCTGCACATTAACAATT